CACAGGCTAGTCACAGGCTCACAGGCTCACAGGCTAGTCACAGGCTCACAGGCTCACAGGCTCACAGGCTAGTCACAGGCTCACAGGCTAGTCACAGGCTCACAGGCTCAGCACAGTCTGCCAGACCAGTCTGGGTGTTCTCGGAATTGCCCGCCAAATGTGGGGAGAGGACAATTACTGAGGACTTTTAATTTGGCGGGATCTCGTCAATCTCTCCTTGTCAGCCGGCCTGTGGCCTTTAGGCTGTGGGCCGTAAGTCCGTAACTTACCCGAAAGGCGAGAAAGGCGCAAGGTTGTAAATATATATGCTCAGGCCTCAGGCCTCAGGCCCGCCCCTCAGGCTCTTAGCTTAGTCTCAGCTCTCACTATCCTCAGGCCTCAGGTACTCTATTTACATAAATAAAAAGCTACCACATGACTATGGGTGACTAAAACTTGTCATTCTACATAACGGTGTTTTCTATACAATCCAACCAATATGTGGCCGTATCCATGTCCAGTACGGTACATGACCGCGTCGGTCGGTCTACCGATCCACACCCGTGGTGCATGTGGGAAACAATATAATAGCTTTCTGATCGATCCTTGAGTTAAAAATAATGTCTTGTTTCATTCACATGTCGTGGAATAGGCACTCTCATTTCACGACGAATCGACATGGACGCAACTTCATCTGAATGGAAATTTTATACATTACAACCGAGTTTATTGTTCTTTATACATTACAACCGAGTTTATCGTTCTTTATACATTACAACCGAGTTTATCGTTCTTTATACATTACAACTGAGTTTATCGTTCTTTATACATTACAACCGAGTTTATCGTTCCGTTCCCGACTTGAACTGAATAAGCGGCGCTACAGCTATTCCAATAAGTCTGCTCTCCGTATATGTATCGCATGGACGTATTTTTTATTGATTTCGGAGCTGAAGAAAAAAAACACGCCAGGCTTGATGAACAACAATTGAGGCCAATGTTTATCAATCATTTCTCGTTAGAACAACTCCACGCTCAGTGCGATATTTTTCAGACTGTCTACTATGTACGAAACATGAACCAAGGCGTTTACAGCAACGACCCACAGGCACATACTTCTTCTACTATTTGTATGTTTGGTTTCCACTAGTAATGGTAGTCCTTAAGAACCAGATTGCCGCCCCACAATCATATTCGATTATCACTTGCGCATAATAGCACTTCGCAAGGCTCGCAGCCGTTTTTCTGACCACAAGACAGCCACAGCAAACGTTTGTTCAATTATAAATCGTAATGACTTCCGGTTACAAATTGTGAGCAAACCGGTACGATAAGACGGAATTCGAAGTCAAGACGCGTGTAATACATTTACAAGAGCTATCCATAGCTATACATGTCATAATGTGATTCAGAAATTAAACCTTTTCCTTTCCACTCGGCAATTTTCCAGTATAAATTGCATCGCAGGTCAAGATCGAGGCTTTAACCGAGGAACAACCTTAAGTGACTGATGACCTTTCAATCTTACTTGACGTATTGAAGTGTGAATATCAAAAATGAAACGACCACTGATACACGCATATGCAATAATCAGCCATTGTCGACACATAAACTATTGCATTCGGTCGCGAACGCTCTTTCTCTAACTCTTACCATTTAAGTTGCTATTCTCCAGTGGCACTTTCGTGAGCTTAGACTACTACATACGGACGCTCTTTTCTCTAACCGGACATTATTAGTTGCTGCTCTCCAATGGCACATTCGTGAGCTTAGACTACTACATACGGACGCCTTTATCTCTGATTCTGAACATTGTGAGTTCTTGCTCTCAGGTGGCACATTCGTGAGCGTAAACTACTAGAAAGAGTGAATAGTTGATACTAAATACGAATATATATATATAAAATTATACTTATAAACAACTACAACTGTAAAATATAAATTCGTACTACTCGTCTGTCAGCATTTGAAAACCCATATATATATCGTCAACCATCTCATTTTCCTTCATTCTCATCCAATCACACACGGGTGTGGAGAGTTTCAAAATACCCCAGAATTAGTTAGCAGATGCGAACGATTCAGCGCGTCGCCAATCTTCTACTTTACTCATCATTCTCGGTTGACATTTGTGCCGTGCGAACTAAAAGGAAAGCACGTAATCTCATGCCGTATGCAGTGCCGTGTTCACATCCTATATATGTACTTTTAGCAACATCCACTGTCACCCTTCTGGTCCCTATTGTTCGTGGTTGTGGGTGCTACCGTGATGGTCTCTACATTGCGCGGCACCTGCACACCAGCTTGTTCGTTGGCGAGTGCCTTTTGTGATACGATACGGTGGATCTCTGTGAGAATGTTCGTGAACGCCTGCTCGACGTTTGTAGAGTCCAAAGCAGAGGTCTCGATGAAGGATAGACCGTGAAGCTCTGAGAAATCAAAAGTGTGTGCGTAGGTTAAGGAAGTGCATTCTTGAGCATTCACTTGCGGATGAGCAAAAACGTGCAACGTCCATCCAGTGCTTCAAAGGAACCGAATTGAGTGTCCAATGTATTTATTTGAATTTGCTTGCATGCGAGTAGATACAAGTATATGCCTTCTTCAGTTTAAAAAGTTGCGATATAAATGGCTACACTAAGTTTCACTCACTCCGTCACCAAAAAAGGGCAATAGTGAGCTAAGTACAGAATTCACCCAAGCTGGCATAATCAAAACAACTACAAATAATGCATTTCACAGATACGGTTGAAAATCAAATGCCTAGCAACGATAAGTATAGTACGCCGCCAGCATTGTACACCATTGTTTTCACAGGTACTTGTGGTGCAAGCGCTGATGTTGCATCTTATTAGTTTCATATTGGTACTATTAAAACATCGTAAGTTAGCGTTAATATTTTAAACGGGAACATAAAATAGAATATAAGCACATAACATATGCCAAAGGATAGATGCATACCAGCGAAAGCCTTTGCTTCTTCTGTGGGCACCGCCCTCAAGTGTCTCAAATCGGACTTGTTTCCAACCAGCATGATGACAATGTTACTGTTGAAATAAATAAATAAACAATAGAATGAGCACTAGCAATTTATTACCATATATGCTATATACAAGTATACAGCCGAGTAGCTAACAAGAGCTTTGTATTAATCCAATTGCGCGTAGCAACCGACGCAAACCATACCGCAAAACTTCTATGGGAGACGCATGAATCTATATATGATTCACATACCTATACATATAACACAAGTGAATGGAAATTACCCATACAGTCGATATAAAGGAGGACAGCCGAATGAGGTACGCTTATCTTTTAAACTCAGCAATTGACATATACGTTCATTTAATACCCTTGAACAAACGTATTTATGTAAAAATACCATTGGCGGATAAATAGTCACAACTAGTGTTCGAATTTGGAACACCACAATTTAAAAATATAGAGAATATGCTGAAAATATATAGAACACACATACAATGCTCGTGCTTAAGCAACGATATAAAAAACCGACAAATATGGTGACCCAGAAAAATACTCTGCGAATACGCTTGTAAGCTCTGACATATACCCGCTGTTATTCGAATCTAACTCGGTATCTGGAATATGAATATGTGCGAAGGAACACTTGAACACAGAAAGGGCAAGCAAATGACGAGCATTATATGGCATTGTATTGAATGCTAATAGTTGCAAGATTCGCTGCACACCACACACCTGTCAGCGTGATCACGCAATTCCTTCAGCCATCTCTCTACATTCTCGTATGTCAAGTGCTTGGCAATATCATATACCAAGAGGGCGCCCACCGCTCCACGGTAGTATGCGCTTGTGATGGCACGGTATCTCTCTTGACCGGCTGTGAAAATCAGGTGGAGTGTGTATATTGGGTTGAACACGAGAACTACTGTTTAAAAAAAATAGCATATGCAATGGCCACACACGCCACAATAAATAAATAAATATGCACATGAACTTACAAACACGCATGTATTCCTGCCACGACTAACCCCACATAACACCCACCGCTTCATGATAATTGAAAGCTTAACCAGGTACTAATTCGATTCGATAAATCGTGAGAAGGATTCTGGTCTGGCGTGTGGGTGTGGCGTGTATAGCAAACTAATTCACCAACACTTGATATATGTACAAAACTACACAATGAGCTTTGATCTAATCGACGAAGTGGTTGATGCAAGGCAGTGTGTATACGCGTGTACATGACGGCTAAGCTAAAATATCTTTAGCTTGAGGAGCAGCGTGAACTTGAGCACCACCACTTAAGATGATGTCGAGGATGGCATAGCTTACAACGGTGTATCAAATATTAACATAATGTTTTGTATGCACATATATATGGATAGGTACATATACGAATGTATACATACCGTACACATATGCCATTATACACAGTACATGCATACACAATATATATATACAAATACAAATATATGTGCGTGTATGTGTGTAATTTGTATGTATAGTATATGCATACTTTCGTACATATATACCCCTTTGCCTATACCTAAATATATAGGCTTACGTTTTATTTTTCAAAACTTCGAAATTCGGAGACGAGAATTTGTAATTCTAACGCACGTCTCTAACTCGTATTGGAAACAACTTGGGCTACTCAAGTACGTACCTGTATCCCAAATCTGAGCCTTGATGGTCTTCTGGTCTACTTTGATGGATCGAGTGGCGAATTCTACACCAATAGTTGACTTCGACTCTAAGTTGAATTCATTTCTGGTGAAACGACTCAGCAAATTGGATTTACCTACTCCTGAATCTCCGATAAGAACAACTGTAATACAGACAAGGAATCGACTCTTCAATATGTGCTACTCTTTTCGGACGTGACATTGTTCGTTATTTCACTACATAGCAAGCAAAGTTTGGCGCTGCATATAGTTTCATACATAGATGTTGTCAAAAATCGTGCCGTCGCATACAATACAAATATTGAAAACGAAAACTGCAGCAAACTACTAAAATACGACGGGAGTCACTTCTGAAGAAGAAAAGAAACAACTCCCAAGAGGCACGCAATCGCACAAAAAATAAGAACCAGTGTACAGCGCTGAGATGACAGTTATCCTTAGCTGTATACGAAGAGTGCGACATAACCAGTCTCGGCACACGTCTCACACTGCACGAGTCCAACACAAGCCTAAAATTTATAAAGAAATATGCACACAGAAAAATACACGTACCTTTGAAGAGGTAGTCGTATTCGTCATCTTTACCAGCCATCTTGATGTGTATAGAACCGTACAAACTGCAGAGAGATCGAAAGTATTAAATGAATACCTGCACATAAAGAAATCTTACTGTAAAATTCTCGCCGTATACTGTAAAACTGACAGTATACCTTCGCGACAGCGAATTGAAACAGAACCTGTAATATTCATGCAAATTTAAGCATACGATGCATTGCAACTGAACTTCAGAAGGTATAATACGCAACTATGCACCTGGAACGAGAAGGCTAGTACACAGTCATTGAAACTGCACTGCTCCTATATATATATATATATATATACATGTATATTTATATTAGCCATTTAAAGCACAGTTGACACGGTCGCAATCCCGGGCTATAATACGCCAGCTTTGTGAAGTCGCGGTCGAGGGTGTACATGGACACAGCTACAAAACAACAATGCAACAGTTCGATGCACTGAGTTGAAAATTAATCAGTATAACACTAGCCTAATCACAACCGAAAAATAATGCACAAAGGAACAGTGATTCGACAGCAGGACCCGTTAGCTGTGGTGTAAACGGGCACTATCGATTTCTTTATACTTATACCAACGAAGAAGCGAGTATATCTACAAGTCCATTACTTAAGTTTACACTATAGAATGACAATATCGTACGACAGGATGTATACAAATAATGGTTATTTACGTACCCTTGAACGATAGATGAAGTTATGGCAGTGGTGTGAGGTACGACGTCTATACTTGGAAAAATACAGAAGTGTTTAGCCTTCGTCTCTTGTTGAAGGTCTGTATTTTTCTCCGCTTTGTTGTATATTAATACGATAAGGACGATACGGACTTTCACGTTTGTCTACTTTTGGCAGAGAAGGGCCTGGCAATATTAAAAAACATTATGCCCGATGGTCGGGGCTGAGACTTGCGAGTTGTTGGCAGCTCACTTGTGGGACACTCGGATGTATTTTTCGCTATGCTATGTGTCACTGCCGTGGTCCTGTGGCCCTGTGTGGCCTGTGGCTTCAAGAACGGGTTTACAGAAAGCCAAAAACAAACAAACAGCTACTACGCGTAATTTGCGACAAAGTTCTATACCTACAGTTGTTTCATATCGAGGATACGAATGACGAATCAGAACAGATTCACATCATAAAACGATATCATTGGTTCATCTTGTCCTAGATTCACCACTTCATCGAGACCAGTGTCCTCAATACTCCTCATCACTCCAACGGTACGATGAAACTAATTTGAAACACGTCCACAACAAGAGAAAGTAAAATTTAATATAAAATTGGTAAATAATATATTTTTAGAAACAAATATTTACGATCAAATCGCCCAAAAAGGGCTACGAGGCCAAACTTCCCAGTGTGAAATTCAAAGGCGTCCCAAAATATTTGTGAGCAACTAATAAGCACACAACAAGCCAGTGAAGCGTTGAAAGGGCGCCAGTCAAAACTTCCAATTTTGGACTGAGTGGCGAGCGCCCATTGGTGATAGGACTATGTATTTACTATGTAGTAGGAGTCTAGGAGTCTAGGACTCTAGGACACTGCATATTTATTATAAATAACGTGAAATGGGGAGCAAAGAGCCCACACACTGGACAGGTCAGGCATAATTGTTTTTAAAAAAATTAGCCACGTCCATTTTTTGGTTTCCTCTTTTTATTTTTGTTGTTGTTTTAAAAATAAACAACAAACAAACTAGAATGATTTTATACGGCACTGGTCACAATAAAATTATTACCCACCTCAGGCCCAGTTTCCTACCAGTCTCTTACTTATTTATACTTTTTCGAGTTTAGTTTGCTTTTTAAAAGATGTAATTAGCGTGATTTTAGCCCATTTATTGCACCTGTTGTATTAGTTCTTTGTCGGCCTCAGAGGAGAGGTTGACGTATGTTAGACACGAATAGTGTCAAGTGTAAAACCATGGGCGAATACGAAGCAATAGCTAAGAGAGAGGACGCCTATATACATGTGTCTAACTGCCAACATATATCAAGCCCTTAAGACCGACAAGGATCTAACATAAGTGCAACAAATGGGTTGTATCCGCGCTACAATATCTAACATTTTAAGTCGAGCGTTTTCAGCCGACAGATAACCAACCCGGCAGAAAACAAACATATCTCACAAGTGCTTAAAATCACGCTAATGACATTAATACTCCTATATTTAAGCAAATTAAACTCGAAAAAGTACGGATGAGACTGGTAGGAAACTGGGCCTGAGGTGGTTAATAATTTTATTGTCACCAGTGCCGTGTAAAGACATTCAAGAAAAACAACAATATATATATATTTTGTTTTAAAAATAAAAATTTGAGTCGAGAGTCGGACGAAACCCAATCCAGCGAGACCTATCAGCCTTGTGAGAGGGCCATGCTATTTTTAAAACCAATTGTATTTGGTTGAGACTTGAGACTAGCCGATGAGCTGGAGGCCCGGGCCCCGAAGTCTCCGAGAGACTCGGATCAGTCCGATGAGGTCAGAGTTCAGACCGTCAGAGGGTCATCAATGAGATGGAGTCTGAGAACTGAAGACTGAAGGCTAAGCTCATTACGTTATTGGGGTGAACGTAAACGCATATATATCCAATTTTAAAACGTTATAAAATGGTCAGAAAAACCTACCTAAGTTCTTACTATAGAACTGGTTTGTATTGTATAATCAGTACTTTCTCAAATGGTTAGATGTGAGCATAAAAGGGACCGTATATAGAATAAAGGTAGAACGTAAACGTATATTTATTCGCTTTATAAAGGTTTTAACGGAAACCGGTTTGAGGTTAGACTGAAGGCCTAGAGGGACATTTGAGTATGTCCTACTGCTTTTTTTAAAATAAAACAATTATTGTAATATATAGATTTTTGATAGTAAACGACATTTGTGGGATTAAATATATATTGTAAACTATATTTAAAAAAAAATGGCAGCTCAAAACACTGTTTGCTGTATATAATTTAGAAGGCTATGGTTTACGACCCCGTTACATTTGAATTTTTTATTTTTATTTTTAAAATATAAACTCAAACTCGTTTGTATGTATTTTTAAAAAAGAAAGTTTTTTTACGATTTATGTTTTGTTTGAAATTTGAAAAGTAAAAATTGTATATATATTTATTTCAAAAACAAAACAATATGCTAAACAATCTGTATGTATGTATTTATTTATTTAAGTACGTCACAAACTCACAACAATGTTGATTTTTTTTACTGAACTTTGCAACCACAAGAGAAAGATTGCCTTTTTTTTAATGGTGGCCATTGTAAAAAAATTGATCACAAAAAAAGTGCATGATGTATGCTTGTCATTGAAATTTTGCAATCTGCTTCAATCATCATCATCAATTCATCATGTGTGGCTTACAAAAACTATGACATTTGAATCTTAAAATAATATCCGAACAATGTTTATATAGCCTTCACAGTGGATAATCTAGTTTCGCTGTAGTTGCATTCTGTGTGCTGAAGACCGCAGAAGCCAGGGCGAATTGGTGCATAAACCTACTTACCAAGTTTGGTTTGTTGTAATATATTTGGATATCTTCTACAGAACTGTCACTTTGAGGTTTATATTTAATTCATCATGGTGGTGAACAGTGACGAATGTTTCGAGTGCAAAGACTGTGGGGAGCTACTGTGCTGTGATCGTTGTACCAAAGCATTTCACCTGAAATGCTTGCCAGAAGCTGTGCGAGTGGTCGTACTTCAAGGTATTAATATCAAATCAATGCACACCTGATATGTATACCGTATAGGGAGTAAAGAATCACTTATATCACACAGACTATATATATATATATATATATATATATATATATATATATATATATATATATATATATATATATATATATATATAGTNTATATNTATAGTNTAGTNTATA